GTGGACTTCGATCAGCTCGCCGAACTTGAAGAGAGACGAGAATCCCGGAGTGAGCCATCCTTCGCTCACCGCGGATAGTCGCAGCGTAGTAAGCGAGAGGGGGGTTCGTCACCCCTTTTAGCCCTAGAAACTTTGCGTGTAACCAAGCCGCAGACTTCGGAGTCCGCCCCAATTCTCGTGTCCAGGCGAAGCTGCGACCAACTCGAATCATGCTTACGCGCGACTCGAGCGGGTTGCTATCATCGCGGAGAAGCCCCCCTCCCTGTCCACAAATCACCACTTCGAAAATGCGCAATCCGATTTGGGCTGTGACGCTGGCCTTGGCAAGCTGCATGACGCATCAAACCGTGGAAGCCGGCCCACCGGAGCCGTACCGATCCGAGACTGATTTGCATACGCTGCAGCAGCGGTTTGTCGACCTGAGGTTCGGCATGTTCATCCACTACAACATGGCGACCTATCAAGACCGCGAATGGGGCGATCCCAAGGGACCAACCGAGGCCTTTGATCCCACAAGGCTCGACACCGATCAGTGGGCCGAGGCGGCGCGCTCCGCAGGCATGACCTATGGATGCCTGACAACCAAACACCACGACGGTTTCTGCCTCTGGCCGACAGAGTCGGGCGGTGACAGCGTTCGTGACACGCCAAAGAAGATCGACATCGTCCGTGCCTATGTCGATTCGTTCCGCGCAAAGGGCCTGCGTGTCGGACTGTATTACTCCATTCTCGATCTGAGGGGTGATATTCGTCACCACAACGTCGAACCGGCCGACATCGAACGCATCAAGTTCGAGCTGACCGAACTCCTCACCGACTACGGTCCGATTGACTTCTTGATCTTCGACGGGTGGGACGCTCCATGGAGTCGAATTACCTACGAGGAAGTCCCCTTCGACGACATCTACAGGCACATCAAGCGACTTCAACCCGACTGTCTCGTCGCCGAACTCAATGCCGGAGTCTATCCCTCATCAGCTCTCTACTACAGCGATATCAAAGCCTACGAACAGAACGCAGGACAGAATGTCCCGACGGACAGCCGCCTGCCGGCGCTTTCGTGCGTCACACTCAGCGACGGCTGGTTCTGGAAATCGTGGGACAACAAGGCCGAATTGAAGTCAGCCGAACAAGTCGTTGACGAGTGGCTTCTGCCGCTGAACGCACGGTTCTGCAATTTGATCTGCAACGCTGCGCCGAACTCCGAAGGTCGACTTTCACCGAATCTCATCTCGCGTTTGAAGGAGATCGGCGAACGCATCGCGTCCAAGGGCGATCTGCCACCGATGCCGCGCGCCACCCACGTGCCCGTGATTACGGCGAAGAATCTAGCGACCGGACGACCCATCCGCGCCAGCGACTCCCCCGACACAATGGGCCCCGATCTCGCCAATGACGGTTCGTTCGGCAGCACTTGGTATCCCCCCAGCGGCCAGACCGACGGCTGGATCGAGGTCGATCTGGCGCCAAAGTCTGAATTCAATCGGGTCGTGTTCGTTGAGCCCGTAGGGCGATGGGACGACTATGCGCAAAGTCGTATCGAGAGTTACAAGATCGAAGGCCTTAAGGGAGGTGAGTGGACAGAAGTCGCCGCAGGAAATTCGTCGGACCCCGTCCGAATCGCCACCCTCACCCGTAGGCAGGCCGACCGCGTGCGCGTGTCAATCAAGAACAAGTCCAATCGCAACTCGGCACATATCTCAGAGATCGGCATCTACGATGAGCCGGGTCCGTAGCGGCACCCCCCTAGCCGATGGCCGATGACGGTAGCAGCAGGCGCCACTATCAGACCACTATCGAAGGACACGCGGTGACGATGTACTTCCGCGAGAGACTGCGGCAGCGGGGGGGGCGATAGGTAAAGAAGAGCGCGAGCTGTTGAAGCTGAAGTCGCTGAACCTCAGCGACGCGGAGCGGGGGCGCCCGACAGTTACCGCCAAGCGGGTCTGGTCGTGCAGTTCCACCAGAACGTGAAGGGGGGCTATGTCCGCGGGGAGCGGTACCGCGTCGAAATCGACGCGGAAGGGCAGGCAATGCTCGCCCCGCTGCAAGGCGGGGCGAAGAAGCCCATTCCCCACGCCGCCCCCGACCGCTTCGAGGTCTACCGCGAGGAGCGGCTCGGCCTAGCGGGTGACGACCGGGTTCGCTTCTGCCTCGGCGGGACCGCCCTCGACGGCAAACGGCGCATCAGTAACGGACGGATCGACGAGGTCGCCGGCTTCGACCGGGCGGGGAACTTCCGCCTCAAGAGCGGCCTAGTGGTCGCTAAGGACTACGGCCACCTTGATTACGGCTTCGTCATCACCAGCCCGACCCGCGCAGCTAGTGCGGATAGCGCAAGGATCGACAACACGGCCGTCGCTGGTTCCGGAATAACAGTGAGCTCGTACTCGTCCGCATTCCTTGTGTCTGCGAGGACTTGCGCAAACGCACCAACCGGGGTTGGAGTCGAGTCCGGTGAGTCGAGGATCAGGGCGTTCGTGTCGATGCGCAGAGCTCGACGACCTCGAGGTTATGAGACAGCCCTTAATTAAGTCCTATCTGCCTTGCATGAACGTGTTTCGTCGCATCTTACACCCTTCTATTCTTGTTTGAAAACACCCGCAAAATCTCGCAAGTTGACGCAATCGCTCGCACTTTTGCGAGCGAAAAAGAGGTAGTAGAATTAATACGCGATAATATCGTTTGTTTAAGTGCGGTAGCTACCGTTCTACACAACGCGCCGAAGAGCCGCTTGCAGAAGTCGATCTAACCTTATGTAGCGAGACGCCTTTGCGTAGCTCTGTTCTTGGCAGGCAGCTTTCTGCTGCTTCGTCCCGTCGATGGTCGCCCATGGCGTCGAACCGCGTAGTAGAGACGCCCCGCTGAGGCACAGCGAGGTGTGGCGGAGTCCTTGCAGCGCTAGCTGGCGAGGTCGTGGGCGTGGGGGACGGCCTCGTGCTCAAGTCGCATAGTTTACCGCCGTGATACGATCGTTTTTGGCGATCTTCCCGCCATTCGGACAGCGTCAATAACGCCAAGTGAGTGGAGCCGAAACCTGTACCACCGGCTAGAACCAGGCCAGTGACCGAAAATCCTTGACGCGATGAAAGGTCGACAGATTCGCGTCATGGAAGTGGCCAGACTCTCTACCGGTACGTGAAAGGATGGCCAGATCATTCCCGTCTATCACCATCGAGGGGTACATGAATGACTGACTGGGCGTGGCAGTGAAAGCGACACACCCCGCCGGCAGCCAGTTCTTGCCGTCATGCCCGAAGTAGAGCATCAAAAAGCGCCGATCGGGGGACACACCTTTCTTGAGAGGCCCAGCCGCCACGTTGCACGTCATCCAAAAGAGCCTCGTAACCGGGTCGTGCAGGATCGCGAATTTGCTCTGACCGCCAGGCCAAGGGTAGTGCTGGTCGTACGCGAGGATCAGATGGCCGTCTTTGTCGGTGAGGTCAAAGAGCGCCGCAATTCCAGGTGTGTCGCCAGGGCTGGGGTTCACCCTCGCGGCAATACGCAAGCGGTCGCCAACCAGCATCATGTTGCCTTCAAGATTCCAGTCGTGGAAACGTTCACGTTCTTTTGTGGCGTAGAGGCGAGTCCCCGAGGGGCGGAATTCGGGAGGGGTCATGACCGCTTCAAGAACATTGGACGCCCTCCAGGCCTTAGGGTCGAGCAGGTCTTCCGATAGATCCCCGGCGATGGCCACGACGCCTTGATGTCGTTGGTCGAGAACCCAGTAGATGTAGCCATCTTTCTCGACGAAGTTAGTCTGGCAGTTCCAGTAAGGTCCTTCTAGCACCTTCACGGGCTTGGCCCACGACTCGCCTCCGTCATCGCTCCGAGTGAAGTAGACATCCTCGTGTTGCTTCATCTGGGTGAAGAGGTAGAGTTTACCCTGGGCGATGAATGGGGTCGCCTCGGCGTAAGGGAGGTCAGGCAATCGTCGCCAAGTTCCTCCGCCATCCGTACTCTTCGTGATAATCAAGTAGCCGCCTTCGGCCTTTCCAACGCGAGATGGCCGTTTCCAGCAGGGGCTAAATGAGAGCAGGTCTCCGTTGGGTAGCCGTATCATCCCCGGATCGTGGATGAAGTAGGCCAGGTTTGGCGTTTGCGCAGCGACGGTGTAGTCTTGAGCGAGCGGCGGGCTAAATAGAGAGCGGGGTTCGGG